TAACAATGTTAGGAAGTATTAGGAGAAAAAAAAAAAAAAAGATAAGACAGAAAATATCATAATGCCACTATGTAAATCCATGGTACACCCACACCATGAATACTGCAGTTTCTGGTTGCCCCATCTCCAGAATGATATATTAGAATTGGAAAAAGTACAGAGAAGGGCAACAAAAATTCTTAGGGATATGGAACAGCTTCCATATAAAAGATGAAAAAGACTGGGACTGTTCAGCTTAGAAAAGAGACAACTTGGGCGGGGGGCTGGGGATATGATAGAGGTCCATAAAATCTTGACTGGTGTGAAGAAAGTGAATGAGGAAGTGTTATTTACCTCTTCACATAACACAAGAACCAGGGGTCACCCAATGAATTTAATAGGCAGTAGGTTTAAAAAAACAAAAGGCAGTACTTCTTCACGCAACGCACAGTCAGCCTGTGGAACTCATTGCCAGGGGATGTTGTGAAGGCCAAAGGTATAATTGGATTAAAAAAAGAACTAGATAAGTTAATGGAGGATAGGTCCATCAATGGCTATTAGCCAGGTGGCCAGCCATGCAACCCCATGCTCTGGGAATCCCTAAACATCTGCCTACCTGAAGCTCGAACCGGATAACAGGGGTATGGATCATTTGACATTTGCCCTGTTCTGTTCATTCCCTCTGAAGCATCTGGCACTAGCTGTTGTTAAAAGACAGGATACTGGGCTAGATGGACCATTGGTCAAACCCACTATGACCATTCTTATGTTCCTAAAGGCCTACATTTTCAGTTTAAGTCTGGGAAGAATCTGAAACAATGGGGGAAATGATTTCCATTCAAGTCCACAGAGACCTCATTACAATGCAAATACAATGTCAGAATGATTTTAATGCAGGTCTACAAAGATACTAAAATCATTTAAATGTACAACTGGAGACCTTTCCACAATGCCATTAGGATGTGATATTAACATGTCAAAACAATTTCAGTGGTAATCCATGGAGAATCCATTAGGATGCCATTATATTCTGAAAGCATAATGCCAAATATGGTTGTTTATATCCAAATGGAAGAAAGGTTTTAATTTACTACACACACAAGTGTTCCAAGACTTTATTATATTGTTGCTATTGACAATTAATTATTATTATTATTATAACTATTAACATGGCATAATTTAAACAATGTGATAACGCAAGACTAAATTCCCTGCTTTTGTTATTGTCTGGTAATTGACTAATATGCCAGCTACATTCTATTTGGAAACACTTTTACAGTGACAAATAGAGGGATAAAAAAGTTTAAGCCCCACTTCAAAAAGTCTGTGCCTGTTATGGTGTAATGGTTAAGGCACTAACCTCGGATCTAGTATATTGAAGTTCAATTCCTACTTACATCTTCACACTCTAAATCATTAATTTCTGTGTGCCTCAGTTACAGGGCTGCCTAGAAGGGGGGCAAGTGGGGCAATTTGCCC